TGCCGCTACTCCTAACAATGATAATGAGGGACAATTAGGAAATAAAAGTGGGATGAAAGTGAAGGTGGCTAGGACTAGTTTTTTTACTTACGGAGATATCTGTTAGATTTATAAACTCCAGTAAAGGTGTGCTCGGCTGGAATAGAATGAAATGCAATAATGATGACTTTAACAAATTGGATATTACATGGACAAGTGTGAACTTGATTAATGACACCCTAATGACTGGTTAAGTGTCTATTTTTTGCATATTTTACAAAGATGATGGTAAAAGTCGCCACAAATCATTTGAGGTACGCAGATTCTCCGTCACCTACCAATGCGACTAGACATTTACAAAGTTTCCAGCTCAGACTGTTTTTGAGAGACCTCTCTTCTGCTTACGCCCTTTCCACTAAATTTCGCCAAAGTCGAGGGCAATTTTGACAGATTAAGGTCATCTATTGATAATGAGACAGTCTCAGTAATACTTCACGAAAAGCACGCTAATTGTCAACACAAAGGCATGGGTTTTAAGTGGATAACCAACCACGGGGACACTCCGATTCCCAATTTCGGTATTCGTCTCTGTATATGGTGTTCTGCCCATATCTGCAGCACCCTATCCCTCATCCATGTCATTAATAAATCTTCCTCCACATTGATATACGTTATTGCGCCCTCAGAGATGCTCCAGGACGCTACACCAATAGCCAGTCCATTGGGCTATTTAAAAGACCTACACACTCTATTTGCTGTTTTTGAGTTTAATTTTATAATAATTCACCCAACTTCTGAAAGCAACTTACTTCAATTTCAATTTGTTCATACCTTGATGTGTGAAGGTTAACAACAGTGAATGACATATGGAACCCCTTCTGGTTATTTACCATCTAGCCAGACAAATAATTTTCGTAAATTTTTGTGATTATAGCTTTAGTTTAGCTCCTAATCGCCTAAACTGACTTCTGGATGACCTGAACATAACATGCTTTTGACCACTTAATGAATTTCAGTGATATATTTACTTGAATGTAGGGTTGGGATGCTATAATCAACTCATGCTTCTTAGATTAGGTTTGGTTGCGATGTTTTCGTATTTGATACACTGATAAATTAAAAGAAACACTTCTAAATGGTTATAAGGTTTAATGGAACTTCTACACAAATAATGGATTGTTCTTAAAAACACTTCCTTTTCCTAATACAAATGCGGATCGAATGAATTTTGATTCGAATGACTCCCAGAGATTGGCAATCATCGCCTAAATCTACTAAGTTTTGGGTTCAAACAAGTAGTTGACTCCAATGTACATAAAAGTTTTGACGCAGCTACAGCTTGGTAAGAGATTATGTTGTGTAGGATGTTTTCATTTTGCCTGACAATTTGGGTCAGAATATGCAGTAAAATTCCACGTCCGTTACTTAGACTGGGATTAGCTTAAGGCACTACATTTATCAAACACCCCCTTTGCTTCTTAAAAATCACATTACTTGTGTTTTTCACAGAATGATTGTAAGCGGTAAACGGATTGAGCTTAAAAGTTCAAATAGACGCGTCGTGTTCCATGCTTGAGGATAATTACATTTTGAGCTTTCATGCAGCATGATTCCATTTGACAAGGTAGTCCTCTGGTTGAGACGGTTGACTTTCCTGAGACACTAGCAACAAACATAGTTAATTTTGTAGCATTAAACTACAGAATTGCTTAGAGAATACAAATGAAAGAGACTCTGTCTTATTTAAATAAAACGGGGTTGTTTATCAGAGTGATTTGCTGCTCCTACTCCCGGAAGGCCACACTTTAATCGGTCTTAGTGGTCGGATGCCATGTGCACACCTAGACGCGGTATTTTTTGGAGCAGTAAAGTGTTAACCAGCTTCGCAATTATGCAAATTAATTAATCAAAGGTTTGAGTAAAGACAAGGTTCGTACTTGTGGGAGTTGAGGGATGGTAACAGGGCCCAAGTATAGGTTGCGTCATCAACTTTGCTCCTGGACGGGGAAACACCGAGCTTATTCGCCAGTCGTCAGTTGCTCCTGACGAAAAGGGGAGTGAACAGTTGTAAATTCATCCCAAATGTTGGTCATGTTATGCATTTACCACCAACAGTGAGGTTGAAAGCGCGGCGTTGTGAGTGCATTCTGCCAGAAACTTAGCGAGACTACCCAGACTCTGCCATTGTAGAACGGTTTTTTACCAAACCACTGGTTATCCCCTATTCAATATCCTCAATCTTAATAAACATAGGGGTGTCAAAACCTACGTTGGACATTCGTGATCTAAGGGGATTCGTCCGCTCAGCACCAGACCATCAAATATTGCCTCGACGAAAATTGCAACAATAAAATTATCACAGAAGATTAAAAGTGCTAATTCCCCACAACTACTATCACAAGTGCCTTTCAAAGTGTAAATTTGTATAACGCACACAAATCTAGTCACATTCTATCACACAATGTGGAATCGATGCCATTATGAAGTCACAAAGGTGGTAAAACTAGTAAACGCCTTCATCCCATTGGAGAGGAGAGCGCTATTAACTGTGACTTTACAATCGTTTTCTGTGTTAAACGCAGATTACGGAGGGTGCTGGAACGTCCCATCATTTGAGGGAAATAGTACCTAGATAAAATGCAAATAAGATTGTCAAAAATAAGAAAATTATCCATGCAATTCGAGACAAATGTAGATTTTCTGATAAAAATGCGGTCATACGATCTATACCATATCTAATTGCACTGAAGTACAAAGAAATTTAAGGGCAAGTGGTTAATGAAATATCAGCTTAGTGCACTTTGCAAATCTTTTCAAATGACGATTTACGACACGCATTTCACTTTGAGACAAAATCATGCAATGGTTCAAGTGGTCCTGGTAATTAGTTTTTCACTGTGTCGCCTAAAGACATCCTGACATTGGACGCGATCACTCCTCAAAGGTAACCTAGTCTGAATGGTCTCATGAAAAGCAAAGTAGTTTCTTTAGGATGGAATTATTATTATCATACATTGCTTAACTCATAATGCATAGAAGATAAAATCATCAATTTTTGCTCACATTGGGAGAGCAAAAGTACGGCTGCTTGATGTCAGCAGGCATCCATCTTGGTTGCGCATGTTGATTTGTTAATTTACAGATGCAATCCACCTAGGAAATATTTTTATGCTTAGGCTGTGAAATCTTCATGCATACTGCAATGGTTGCTTGTGGATGTAACCTTGCAAGAACCAACCGTAGGTGATCCTTTACCTGTGGCCTCAACTGCCAGACGCATTCATCATTTTATGAAGGTGACTTCATGAAGCTCACTGTGGTGGACTTTACACCCAAATGTTCGCCCACTACAACACAATACGCTCTTTATTGCAGAATCTTTTGTAGTGCATCTGTACTACCTACTTAATGAGTCTAATTCAAAGCTATATTGCATTTTGGTTGTTTGATTAACTCCCGGTTTTGGCAAAGATGCTACTGAGGTACTCCATCATTGCACGTTCGCCAAGTGGACTGGCCTCCGAACCATGCCAACAGCCTGAAGTCCCATGCATATCGAATAGGTCTTCAGAGATGAAGCACTAATAAGCTCTTTTCTGATTATTATAACATTTTGTGAAAACTAGTACGCCACACACTTCTAATATTAAGGCTAACTATATTCGCATCAACAGTAAGCGATTAACCATTTTGCAAAATAATCACAGCTAACAGCACATACTGACAATGTTTAATTTACAAAAGTTAGCACTATTCTAAAATGTTTTGCCAACTTTTAAAGGGCAAAGTATTTATTGTACTGCATTTTTTATCAATGAATGCTGTTGTTGATTCCTAGCCAACATGATCTGCGGAAGAGTATACCCAATTTCCTACCTGTATTTCACTCCAAATAGTCATCGATGGTATTTTTAGTCACTTAACGGAAATGTTAAATTAATTCTGTAAATAACAACAAAATCATCGCACTAGAGGTTGGAGCTGGGAACTTCTAGTCCTGGCTGAAATAGGCAGATAACTACTGACTTCGATTTCCCAAATTTTCCCGTGCTAATTCAGCAATATTTATAAAAGTGGATCCTAATTTGGCACCGCCACGGGTACGCACCAGAGCGCAACTTTTCTGTTCGATGGTAATTTTCACTATTGTACATCCGAGTGGAGCTATATGAATGTCGAGACACCGGTTAGGGTAAAATATCACCAACTTTGGCAATGCACATTTATATTATTCTCGTAACTACTGGATTTGCGGTTATCTGTTCGGACAAAAAAGCAGCCTTTAAATGGGATTTTCGCACTCGTAGATGTTCACCTTCTTACACAGTCTGGATATCCCAGTCAGTGACAGACGTGTTGATATATGGTGCTTAGTTTACTTACAAATAAACAGCCGTTTCCAGAAAAAATCTAGACTAAGACAAGGATGGTGTAGCTACCGTTCGCGATGGAAGGTTAATTTGCATTTTCGAAACTAACCAAATTTGGGGGAAAAGTCATCTGGTTTAGGAGCAAAGTGTTCAGTAGAGAGGCCAATCTATGTGTTTATTTTTAACGAAAATGGCAAATGGTAATGCCACACCTTTGTAGCCTTATTTAGTCCAAACTGCATTGCAATGGATTGAAATGATTTTAAATATGTAGCAGTGCCACATTTTGGATCGCTTATGCTATTTGATAGCAACGTTTCCTATTTTACTGGTCCAGAATCTGGGATAGAAATATCCCGGATTTAGTTGAAATCATCGGTTGGGTCATACCTCTGCAAATAAGCTAGGGGTAGAGAGATAGTCAACAATATTTGTGCTGCTTTGGAGTGCCAATTTTGAGAGTTGTTTGTCACCTTTGGCGTTTTGTCGATAAGCCCAACTTTCCAACCACATTTTTTTCTATTTTAGCATCAAACTCTTAAAAAGGCCAATTTAAACAACTGCCATAGCAACCCACTTTTATTCGTCTAGAAATGAGTCCCACGATTCAGTGTATGAGCTCCGGACTCCGGAATACTCTAATTTACACCTCGAACATAATCCAAATTTCAAGCGTATAATGTAAGCCACGTACTGGCCAAAGAGGCAGTACCTTATTATTTAGGATTCTCTCTTTTTGTGTTTTGAGGCGACCTTCCGATTACTTACGTACGAGAAGTCCCAAAGCGGGTTCCTACCCTCAATGCATTAGTATATTCCAGGTGATCATTTACCACAAATAATAGGCTAAATGCGATGGATACAATGAAAAACTAGGAATACACATTTCTAGATTTTGTTCTTTGAATTCACATTCCGCATTTGACTACGCCTCCTTGGATCATTCAAATTAACGTGAGAAAGCCGCAGCTAATATAAACTATTGTTTTTTGTTTTCATTTTCTTTTATTTCCTAAAAAAAGGCTCAATACGTGCATACTACTAACACTAGTAGCTGCCGCTCACTGGCGACAACATGACATCCCGTTTATTTGCTATTAACTGTGTCAAAACCAGTGACAAATATGCTGCTGCTAAGGCAATTTCTAACGTTGCAGATCAATCACAATCACTACGTTTCGGGTTTTTCCAAAGGGTGTTATGCTGCAAAAGTTGTTCAACATCGAAGGACGAACACAAGGGCTGCTCGTGGCGATTCTAGTAGCAGTTTATTGTAAAATTGAAAGTACGCGGACTTGCCGATGGTCAAAAATCACATATTGCTGGGACAGCATAGTCAGTCACCCAACAATTGGTTGCAAGCAATTGGAGTTGGGGATCCGTCTGCATAGAATTTGTCGTGGGAACTGATTGAATAGCATCATTTTTGCGGCATTGTCAGTTCACTCATTTAAAAGTGAGATCTCTCGATGATTTGCAAAAACCCGTATTCGCTGAAACTAACATGCAATACAAAATTGTTGAAAAATGGACTGTTAGTTGTGAGAACGATAACATTGCCTTCTTTGGGAATTCATCATGAGGAGTTGGATTAACATTGAGGGAGGAAGGTGAACCGGTCTACAAGGTAAAACGGCTTTCCAAAATCACCAGTGACCGCCGCTCACAGAGAAATAATTTTAGGAGGCTAGTATACCCTCTTCATTTAGGTGTCAAACAGTATATTCAGCGCCATCCGACCAATCCGCTCGCCACCACAGAGCAGCCAATCAAACCAGAAGCGATAAACAATTATTCCCCTCCCCATTAAAAAGCTAAAGTGATCAATTCCACACTCCCTAATGTTGAAACACACGGAGAACAGTAATATGTTTTTAATAAAAGATAAGACAAATGTTGCACAATGCAGCTGTTTCCTGCAGCAACTATTACACTAGCTAAAGGAAAATAATCACATATGAGGACATCTGAATGATGGAATAAACAGTTTTACACGGATAGTCGTTTTATACCGAAAGACAAACGGTGTCACGGATAAGACTGTACGCTGCTGCTGCGGCTAGAAGGTAAAGCTAGAGACGCAGCGCTCTTTGGGCTTTCTGGTCATTTCGTCCTTATAGATGCTCACCACCGAAATGGACTGTCCAATGGTCGCCTGACCAGCAGTGCTGTCGTCACAGGTACCACCACCACCGGTGCACATCTCAGCCACAGTGCGCACGCTATCACGCACCTGCGAGAAACCCGCCTTCATGAATTGAGCCACTGCGCCGCTCTGGTCCCTCAGACGCGCCACTGACTTGGCGGAGCGCTCCTTCAGCGCTACAATCTCGTCACGTGCAACCCGCACCCGCGCACCTACGTCACGAACCAAGCGGCCACGGAACTCCTCCAGTCTTTCCCGGAAGGTCACCGTGTCATTCGATTCCGCCGCCGCCTGGAGTACCCCCAGTACCTCGGTGTACTCCTGTGCCAACTGCTCATCCTGAAAGATTAGTTTTACATCGCGCAGTGCCGTGGATGTCCACGTCTCACCATCGTCGGTGGAACGCATATCCAGGTGGCAGCAATGACAAAACTCCGAGGGAAAACCGTAGTTGAGCACGTTTTCGTGAGGGATTTGCCTGATTTCATTTTGAATTTTACTACAATCGTCATCACCTATAGCTTCAATGCGGTTCTCCCCATCGTCATTAACGCTACGCTCCACTGAGGGACTGCATTCTGCAATGAGGAGGGTGGATGCATCGACGAGGCACTGATCATCTTTGTGATTGTACTCCGGGGGTGGTTCCACAAGAATGCCTTTTTCACTGCGTAACACCTCAAAATTTGCGAAAGCGTGAACTGACAGGCAATAGCCACAAAGAAAGGCTGGTTGCACCAAGCAGGTGGGGCAGATCCGCTGACTGAGCGATATCTCCTTCATAGAGGTCGCATTGTTTATCCGCATTGAGGGAACTGGAATAACGCCGATGAGGGGTCGGACAAAAAATTTATGAGACTGGGGTTGTCTGAAACAACGTGTCTCCACCAGATATCGAACGCCTCCAATGATGAGACCCAGAACCAGTGTGACTGTCATGACGATGAATCCAAGAATCGTCGTGGTGAGGAAAAGCTGGTCGATACAGGTGCCAACTATGACGGTATAAGGTTGGTTGTCAAGATGGAAACCGCCATTGGAGAGGGCTGCACACCGCCATGCTCCACTATGGTGACCGCGCGCGTAGTCGATCGCCGTCACAAAGGAAGTTCGAGTGGTTCTCTGAACAGTTATTCGAACGGGTCGTTGGACAGGAAGAACAACATACTCGTATTGGGCAATTTTCGTGTCATTTATAGCGGGGTCCCATGAAGGGGATGGAATGAAACCAATGGGTGAAAAGACACCAAATTCAACAGAGTTTGAGGCATCCACATTGCAGGAAAATTGGAAACTTTCAGCAACTTGGGGAGACAGTGTCAAATTCGAAAAAGCCCTTTTGAATGTCAAGAAATATGGGCATGGAATAAGAGCGCAAATAAAGTCCGATGTTAGGAAATTTCCCTCATTTTTCAGCTGAACATTGGTACAAGTGCATTCCAAGGGATTATTTGCGATATTTACAACGAGAGTATCAGATGAGAGACTGGGAAAATTTCTAAATCTATTCCATGAAATATCAAGATACTGAAGTCGTGGCACATCGGACAAGAAAGGTAGGTGCAAAAACTTCAAATTGTTGTAACTGAGATCGACAGTTTGCAGACTCGGGAATCCAGTGGTAAACTCGGCTGTATTCAGAGATACAAGACCGCAACGCGAAAGATCAAGGTGTTTTAGGTTCTTAAGATAGAGCAACCACGCAAAGCCTTGCATAGAGGTCAGATTCAAGTGAAGTGAAAAGGACGAAAGCTGGGTGAAGTTCTGGAATGCATTTTGTTCGACAGTTCGGCTTAGTGAATCAGCAGACATAATGGACAACCGGGTGCAACTATCAGGACAATTTTTCAGAAGGTTGCGATTGATGTTAACACTTTTCTGGTCAAGATAGAGTTGACAGGCGCCTTTGTAGTTTGAGCAGCTCAAGGATGCCGCACATAAGTGCTGAACTAGTAGAGCTGTAGTCACAGCAAAAACCTAGTAACAAATAATTACGGAAAAAAATATTTACTATGGGATTATTCCACTCCATCATTAACACTGGACAAAGTGACAACTCCCAAGACGGACCTCATCGAGATCCCGGCGAAGCAACGAAGAGCCAGGATAGACCAATCAAAGTGCGCACGCGCGCTTTCGTAAAACATCTTTTTTATTACAACTCTTTAAACACGCTGCTCGTAAATGACAAGAAAATACAGATGGAAAATCCTTTGATTGCAACACTATTTAATCCTCCTAAATACTTGCCATTTTATTTGCTAAATTATAAAAGCCTAAGTAGATGACATCCACTTCATTTTAAAATATCTAATGGCGGCAAAATCAACAACTTCCACTATAGTTGTGTGCTTAGTCTGCATATTTTTCGTTCATAGAATTTTTAATGATTGCCTCTATACTTGCAAGCCAATGAGCCAATCCCATTCTGCGGAAGGGGCCTTCTAATAGTGCCCAATATTTTCTTTTCTTTTCCCTTTTCTGACCCCTGGATCAAGTAGATTTGGCAGTGAAAACCACTACGTATCGTCGGAACGTAGAATTGGCAGTATTCTTTTATTTGCGCGGGTGACCCACATTGCCTACTTGCCGCTCAAATTCGTATCTAAACAAATAAGTACTACGCATTCCCCTCTTTGTTTGGAGCACTGTGCCTAATGCCTTCTTTGGACATGTTACTTTGTATGCCATTTCTGTTTACATTTTTCTCTACACCTTGTATGTAGACTTCACTCACGTATTCAAAAGGCGGCGTTACTTTTCAAAGGCGCATTTAATTTGGGTGGAAATCTGCATTGTAGACCAAGCAATATGTTGGCGAGATGACCTTTATAACTCGAAATGCACATTTGCTTCAAAAGTGGTGAAATTTACAATTTACTTCTGGGAGGTAACTCCACACTAAATCTCCCTGATAGATATTAGGATGGTTACACTTGTCCAGCGTACAGTAGGAATAGTTGTTCCCCTGCGAGTTTGAGCAGTTGTCTAATCTTTAAGCCTCAGCACTTACCCTGGAGCCGTGTAATTAATTTAAACAACATTAGGTAATAAAGTTTAAGCCAGTATTACCGTCTCTTGCTTGGAAGCATTTCAAACAGTGTATGGGGTGTAGCCCTATACGCAGGAAGGCACAACCTTAAGCTTAAATCACAACTCTGCGTGGGGACAGCTTTAGCGAGATCCTTAAACAATTCACTTATCCATTACTCCGCGGATGGTCAGATGTCGTACAAGCCTTTAAGGTCCCGCAAATTTTGGATAGTTTCGTAAAGTTGGCAACTTGATCGCTATGCAAAGTCTCGTAAACCCGTGTTAACGATTTCACCGTTTTAGCTCCTTGGGATATTAGGAGCCCCCCGTTGGCAAATTTAGTGAATTAATTCACCATTGTGGGTGTGTTCCAGTTTCCTTTGTGTGCAAGCAGTAAGAAACCGACAAGTGCTCTCCTGGGAATCATGTGGGTGCAAACTGAATTAATGTGATCGCTGTGAGGTGAGGTCTTTCGAATCAGCAGATAACGCGTTCACCTTTGGTAGTTGAAGACCGACAGTATTTTTTGCCTCAGATGTTTAGCATCTTCTTTTCTCCTACAGGACTTCATTTCGTACGTAAATCTTGGAGGACTATTTGCACGAACTTGGAACTACTAAGCGCCACGGTTTTCCTGTCCGATCTTGGTATGCTTAGACCTCCTCTGAGGATATTTTTAATCAATTCTGCCATGTACTTCTGATCACCTTGCTTGATGACGACGTTTCTGCTGTCATCGACTTTTACCATAATCTTTTATTGGTTTATAACGGTAGTGAGGAATGTATCGTACTCCCGAACCGAAATGAGATCGGCACATTGCCTATTTCGTCACTGATACTTACTGAGTTCGTCCAAAGTGTGATAAAGCACCTGTGTTACTACTTGTATTCCATTTTCTTCACTGTACTATGAAATCGTACTGCTTCAGTTCTTCATACTATTGCGCCATCGAACAGTCTGCCTCTTTCATTGTTTTCAACCTAATCATCTGGCCTCGTAATTAACTTTCGTTCACTTATCTGTATCATCTGCTTATTGTGTTTGGTACTCGAGTAAGCGATGATGTGTTCTCCACCTTTTCCTCTCTTTTGTAACTGTATACCACCCGTAGCTGTATCACTAGCATCAGTGTTCAGGACGAATGGCGGAGCAGCTAGTTTAAAATTAGGGGAGCAGAGCATTTGCTTTGGTTCTTCAAATGCCTCGTCTTTGAAACTCTTTTTAGTTTAATTTTTACGATCCTACACGACGAGTTTCCAATTTTTGCTGAACTTTTAACAGATAGTCTGTAGTAACCCGCCAAATCAATGAAATTCCGTCTGACTGGCTGGTGTTAACCGGGTCCTCCTTCCTTTGTAAGGTCTTCAGTAACCGCTATCTCGTTTGCAGAGGCAGTTTGCCCCACGAAAATTTATTGTACGCCGCAGAAATGGCCATGTCTTCTGGCTCACTGTCAAACTTGCTTCTTGTAGGCGATCTAACACTCCACAATACCCTTGCTGAAAGCGGCTATGTCGACTAGGTATAGCACAAAAGTTTTGAAAATAGTCCAATCAGAGCAATTTTTACAAGTCGTTGAATAGTAAGTCCTGCACTGCAGAGCCCGAAAAACATCATCAGGATATTATTTAGCCCACAGGGGGATATGATTGCACCCTATTCCCTTATCTGTTCCCGTCATCTCGACTTTCTTATATTAGTTTTAAGTCTAATAAGATGAAACACTTTGACCCACGCAGAGGTGGTCTAACGTGTTTCTTATCTGGGAGAGGGAAAGAATGCCCTTCGCTGTTACTGAGTTCAGCTTCCGACACAAAGCTTTTCGTATTTCTTCTTTACTAGAGTAATCGGTGAGGCTCACAGTTACTTGGAGGATTTCATGATCCCGTTTTAGAAAACCTCGTCGATTAGACAGTTTGCCTCCTCTACCAGAGGGGTGGTGTGTCTGGGGGATTGCCAGATCGGTCTAGCCTTGCTATTATCTACCATATATTCTATGATGCTTGTTCTTTTCAATTTAAAATCATGCCATTAAAAACTCTTCGTGTAATTAACATGCAGGCTATGAAATTCCTTCTCATCGTCGATGATGTGAGCGAGGTGTGAACAAAGGCTATCGAAGTTGGTTGCATGTATTGCTGTGATTTTCAAATGGAGATATCATCGACAATTCTTTGGTAACAGAAAGACTATCATGGCCTTACCGTCCTAGTCGGTGGAGAAGGAACTGACGGAAAAATCCAGAATAAGTTTAGTGTTATGTAGAAAATCAGTCTTAAGGATTATACTCCATGCTAATTCTGGACATGTGGTGAATTTTATTACTTATGTATTTTTGGCTATAGTAACACATAAATGTTTTCTCGTCTTAGGTCAATCTCTTTGATTTTGCTGATTGTAGCTTGTTAGACGGTGAAACTATTCTAACCTTTTGGCAGGAGAATGAGAAAGCCCTGAGATTCACCAACGACCCAACTTCGCACCAGAGTGAAAAATGCAATTTCATGAATGTCTTTCTAATTCGCCCAGGGTTTGCAGGAAGGCAGGGGATTCGTCTAAAAAACAGGCACGAAAGGGAATAGGAGGGCTAATTTAAATCCGGCGAGTGATGCTGACGATTTCGGTAGAATGATGTTGCATTTCATCGGCCATTGCTTTTGATGTATCGCACTACCGTTGCCAACTCTTGATGCTTCCTCTCTGCGAGCTGTGGAGTTTGGCAATCATAGTGCGGGGGGCAAACACCGTGTCTAAGCTGAGCGATGACTCGCCCTACCACTCTTGACGGCAGCAAGTCAAGAAAAGTACGCTTTCTCAGGTTTGTTAGCCTCCGTGCATACCTCTCGTCACCTCCCATTTTCGACCACCATGAATGAACCCTTTTGTTAACGTCTATCCCTCCTGCAAGATGGTGGTTTAGGCCAGTGTGATAAAGAATTTTACGAAGTAAGCATCTGCAACTATTCCAATTTTACGATGGTAGAAAAAAGCTCAGGGGAAGTAACTTTGATTGTTAGGAATAGAATCAGAGGTTAAATTTGACGTGTACGAGCCATTTGTCGAGGTCCGTGTGCGTTGTGAAGGGAGGAAGGTCCACCGACGTTACCACTGGTGTAACATTTCTGGCATTGTTTCTTCCTACCTCTGGTTTTAGACCCTTGGACCAAGACAATTGTTTAATAAAGGACATTATGCATTATAGGAATGTGAGTTTATACAAAAGATCTAAATTTTGCTAAGAATTGGAGATTGTTTATTCCCTGTTTTTCCGATGGCACTTTCCTGTTCATGTGTTTGATCCAACCTACCCACTTGCCACCTAAAAGTGTATGCATGTATGTATGTTATTAATCATGTTGCTAGCTTAAAAAATTGCAGCGTATATAGCTGAATTATATGCAAGGATTACCTTTTTTCGTATACAATAAACTTGATCGCAAATTAACAAAAAAGGAAAGAGCATTGATGACATTGAAAATCCGAGTGTATTTATTATGTCTTGATTATGAAGTACAATAATGGTGCTTTACAAATCGTCTGATTCCTTTGACAGAGTAGTATAATGGGATTAGTCGAGCTTAGTGATCAAAATGGAATTTGTAAGGTACATTTTGACCCTCGAGGAAGGTATTTGTGAGCAGAGCAGTATTGGTTCATATGCCCAAATATAAAATAGTTGAAATTTAGCTCTAAGTCACTAGTACACGTAGACATATTTACATCTATTTTAGATGTAATTCTTTCGTTTTGAGGTATGAAACTTCCACACTATATGAGAACCGTTTGGGTGACCATACTTATAGCAAATGCATCTACGCCCCTTGTTCTTTGTACACAACCTTCTTTCTCACTTGTAAGAGTGTGATTGTAAAAAACTTAACGTTTACGTCAACATTTTGCAACGTCATGGAAACCGCTTACAGGCCTAAAGAGATGGATACCATGAGCAGGCGTGAAGATGGTACGGGGATATGAGACACACTCTAATGCGCACTGTTATGAAAACGCAAATGAACATTTATTGGGTCTCTATACATAGAGAATGAAACTTGCTGTTCCTGTGTGGCGCGAAAAACATAGTTAAGTTTTTTTAGGCTGTAAGAAAGTAAAATAATAAGTACCGTTTAAGTGTTCACAAGAGGTCAATTACTCGCAACACTGCCAATGTGAAGAATATTTCAGTTGTTGAGCTAACTATTTTCACATTTACGAGCTTGAGCTGGTTTCAAATTACAGAACCTAGAGTATACTATTGTAAATCAAAATAAAGTGCATTGTATTAATATTATGAATTACATCAGTGTGGAGTTTAAGGGGCACTTTTATAAAAGTGCTATCGGCTGTACTGCTCCATAAGACTAAGTGAGCCGCTCTGTCTGTTGTCTGTAATTGAGCTATGCTATCATTTAACAAAAGAACGCTATTAAACGTAAAGAATGAGTTTTAAGAAATAGCGAGGAGCAGCTTGAGGAAGTTAAAAAGTGTCTTTGAAAACTGTCTGACGAGACCGTAGGATGGTCGTCGTGATCCCCAATTTTATTTAAGTTTTAAATGGTGCTTGTAAACGATATATCCAAGAGCCTGAGTCGACTTTTGTAAATAAAAGGTTGCAAATAACAGCAAAAGTGCAACAAATGAGCAGACAGAAATAAGGTTAAGGTCGCACGCAAAATTCCAGTGGTAAATTAACAGTCTGTTGAATAAAAGGTACTAGTAAAATAGTATTACGCACAAAATTGGTAAAAAACCATGTAAAGTCCCCGAAAAAGGATTCGCGCATTAGGATGGGAATGCGAAAATTTTTATCATTGGACTTACCCGAATCTGATCTCTTAGCGGTATAGGCTTAACTATTTGGGGTGTAAAAATCTTACTAAAGTTTAGTTTTCTGGAATTAGTGTTCCCGCATGAAAAGCCATAAATACAATCGAGTAAAACACATTTATTAAACTGACTGTACTAGGGTCAAAGTGTTGGTGGAGCGTCTTCTAAAATAGCACACTAAAAGCTGATACAAGGCATAAGTCTAAATGATAACTCCCCAATTTTGGTGACAGACACCTCTGTACATAGAAAGGTTTAAAAAGAGGTAGATTTACGCTACGTTCACCTTGAATACATGTGACGAATTCAATACCTATTCACGTTGTACGAATCGGGTATACGAACGCGAAGAGTTGATATCACAGAGATTATAAGCACTTACACAGAATAATTCCAATAAATTACTAGAAGTGAAGATTTGCATATACGTGTACAGTGTGATAATATCGACCACTATCCCCATTGCTATCAGCAGCATCCTCGACAGGGCATATGGACCACGAATAGTTTGGCAACTTTACTTATGTTTATTCAGTAGCGAGGTGTTGCCACGATTCAACGAATTACCTGCACAGAGGGTAGTATCCCACCGTGCTGGTATACTAAGTGATGGGTAAACCAGCGGTGCATAACTCG